TCTCTCTCTCTCTCTCTCTCTCTCTCTCTCTCTCTCTCTCTCTCTCTTTTTCTTACAGGGGTCACTGATGACGTTTTTGAGTTTTGTGCCCCAATCATGTTTTTCATATAAACCCTGTGGTTGTCACTGTGGGATTTTGCAGGGCACAGTGATGTTTGGGAATGCCACATGGCGTGATAGTAGAACTGAGTGTATGGTATTTAAAACCGTAATACTAGTTGAGATCATCGAGTGGGTGAGTGTAGTTACAGAAGAGGCCAAGGGTTGAGTCCGGGGGCACCTCAACCTTAACAGATAGAGAGGAGGAGTCAGCAAAGGAATCATCTGGTGAGACAGGAGGAAACTCAAGAGACATGCTGTTCTAGAAGCCAAGTGAGAATAGCATTTGAAGGAAGTCCTAATCAATTGTATCTGGTGTCACAGAGAGATCAAGAAGGGAGAAGACTGACTGAGAAGTCACCACCGAATTTAGTAACTGCTGAATTTAGTAATTTGGTGGCATAGTGGGGATAAGCCTACTTGGAGAGAATATATTTTTTGAATAATCATGAAATCAATTTTATTTTATTTTAATACAAGTCTTTTTCAAGTAAGCTCTGTCATTAACATGCACATTTATGTCTTGTATGGTATCTTATAGATCAAGTTCTGCTAATAATTTTTATTTTATTTTATTTTATTTATTTATTTTTTTTTGACAGAGAGAGACACAGCGAGAGAGGGAACACAAGCAGGGAGAGTGGGAGGGGAAGAAGCAGACTTCCCGCGGACCAGGGAGCCTGATGTGGGGCTCGATCCCAGGACCCTGCAGTCATGACCTGAGCTGAAGGCAGACACTTAATGACTGAGCGACCCAGGCGCCCCTCTGCTAATAATTTTTAAATATTGCTATGGAGTCCCTCCTATGCATCTGACAGTGGGATAGAAGCACTGTATTTAAAGGAGCAGATTCTAGAATTGAGACATTCATTTGTAAATTCTGGTTTCACCACTTACTAGTTGTCTCAAGTACGCCTTGCTCTTCAGATTTCCAAAGTGAGGTTAATATCCTATCTTAGTTGGTCATTGTCAGGATTGGGTAAGTAAAGTGCTTAGCATGGCATCTGACACACAGGATGGTTCATAAAGGTTATTAATATTTTTACAATGATAGATGTAATATTTGGCCTTGAACTTACAACGGAGTTGGGGAGATAAGACATAAAAAATTAAATAAGCATAAATAAGTATAGCCAAAGTAACCAGGGAAAGTGATACTTAAAATAGGACCGAAAGGAGGAAGAGCAGTGAGAAGGGTCCCCTGGGTTTGCTATGCACCTGCCGCTCTGTGATGCCATAGCCACACATACTTGGTTGGCCCTCATACCACACTATAAGGAAGTACTCTCCCCAGTGTGTGCATGAGAAGACTGATGCTCCAGGAGGCTATCTTCCTCCAGGTACTCAATTGGCAGGGGGCTGGAGATGGACTGGGTGTGTTCATCTCCCAAATCTATGCCTGTGGTGACAGAGGAGAGCAGCAGAGAGGTGTCTACCTCTCCACTCTCTGCCATATGCAAACGCTAACAAGACAGCCAAACCAAACCAAACCAAACCAAACCAAACCCATGGCATGCGAAGCTTCATTTTAGCCTGATATATAAAGAACTACATCTAAGAAACAAACCGAAGAGAAGCTAGTTGCATATTCTTACCCTGGACCTTTTCTTCTTCTGGTAGGGTTATTTATGTGGCAGAGCAGGGTTTTAAGGAAGGCATGGAAGGACAGGTGGGAATGAGAAACAAGTGCGCATCAAGGGGTGCTTACAGGAAACAAACACCGTGGTGTCTATTTCCCAACCGGGCGTGTCCACAAGTTTACTCTGCAGTGGACTGTGCACCTGCAGTCCAGGCTCCTGTGGGGTTCCTGTTGGGGTAACTAACAATGGGCCGGTATTTGGACTTTAGGAAGTCTCCATGCTAGCTGAGCCTCTCACTCAAGCTGGTAGGACAAGGGCAACTGGTGTCCTGCACAGTGTGGTTCGAGAATGGCTTATATCACTCTCCTCCAATGAGCCATTAAGGGTTCTTAAAGTGCTTCCTTGAGCAGACAGGAGGGTCTAATTGGAAAAGATACGCTGTGCTGCTGGGCATCAAGTTAGCTAATTGTGAAGCCCTAGCAGAGACACTCAGTCTCCTCACCTACTCTCAGTGGGTAAAGGCCATGACCTTGAAGGATAAACCCATGACACACAAGTTTTAATGGGCTGAGAGAAAACGAAACATGAATCTTTGTAGAGCTCTGTGGGACTTTGAAGAAGAGCCGGCCTTGATGAAGAGGTGTGCTAGTTTTCTAGGGCTGTCATAACAAATTACCACAACTAGGTGACCTAAACAACAGAAATTTATCCTCTTACAGTTCTGGAGGAGGCTAGAAGTCTGAGATCAGCTGTTGGCAGTGTTGGGTCCTTCTGGGCGTTGTGAGAGAGAATCTGCTCCATGCTTCTCTCCTATCTGCCGGTGGTTGCTGGCAGTCTTTGGTTTTCTTTGGCTTGCAGACATTTCTCTCCAATCTCTGCCTCCATCTTCCAAGGCTGTTTTTCCTGAATCTCTGTCTCTGTGTCTCTTCCTCTCTTCTTATAAGGGCATCAATTTATATTGGATTAAAACCTCATTTACTCCGATATGACCTCATCTTAACCATTAATTACATCGGCAAAAACCCTATTTCCAAATAAGTTCACTCTCTGAGGTTCCAGGAAGGACATAAATTTTGGGAGGACACTTTCCAGCCCTGTACAAGAGGGGAGCATAACACAATCAGGCATCATTGTCTGTGAGAGAACAGTGGGGAAAGGAGAGGAAGAGGCTCTGAAGGAAGGCTTAGAAGGACACAGAGTATCAGTGAAGTAGGCAGGATTATAATAGGAAGCACATGTGCCAAATGGGGGTCATTGAGACTTTAAAGAAGGAATCATTTATATTAAGTGGTGGGGTTGGGCACTGTCATGGCAGGTTTGCTGAAGAAGACCACCGGCCTTGTGGGATTGGCTGTATGTGAGAGTCCACATGAGAGGCTAAGAATATCGTACACAAAGATTCTTGATGTTCTCGAGCAAATTCTTAAAAACGCAACATATAGAAAGTATACAGAACAGATTACAAATGAAAAGCTGAGTATGGTTAAAGTGGAACCAGATGTTAAGAAATTAGAAGACCAACTTCAGGGTGGCCAACTAGAAGAGGTGATTCTTCAGGCTGAAAATGAACTAAGTCTGGCCAGAAAAATGTTACAGTGGAGACCATGGGAGCCTTTAATGGAAGAGCCTCCTGCCAACCAATGGAAATGACCAATATAATCATCATTGAATGACTAGTGGATTGATGGGAAACGGATGTAATTAAATGTTCTGTTATATAAAAATGCTTCTATATTATTGACATAATCAAGAAAACTAATACAGAGCATATTTAGGACAATTCTTAAAATTGATGACTATGGTAATAGGGACTTGTGAATCCATTTTTGATATGTAAAGCATTCATTTAAGCAATCTTAAAGATTTTTGTTGTTGTTGGGTTTTTTTGTTTGTTTGTTTTTCGTTTTTTTTTTTAATAGAGAGGTTGTGGAAAGATTCAAAAGTTAATTGGAAAAATTTCTATAGATTTTCAATGCAGAAGCCATAACCAAAATGTGAAGTATTTATAGTGGTATCTTCAACACATCATTTAATGATTTTTATCCTAAAAAAAAAATAGGAAAGATACTTAATTATTATTATTGTTTAGACAAATTTATAGGTCACTAAAGTGAAGTAGTAAGAGTAAAAACCATCGAGTTATAGTTGTACAGTTGAGGAAATTGATTTGGTATTTGAAAGAAAAATTTCTTTCTTGAAAGAAAAAATTTCTTATAGTGGTAGTTGGAAAAACTTTCCTGTTTGTCTCATTTAAAGAAGTTAGCTTTTTGTTCTTAGCCTTTAGTTTTCTCGATCACCCAGAGTACATCAGGATGGTGATAGAATTTATGTAAAAGGAAAGACATCAAGAGTTCCTAAAGTTTTTCATAGGCTTGTATTCAGAACCTCTTACTCATACATGGGTTGTAACTTCAAAGTGGAATCACTAGGTAGTTTTCAGTAAGTTTCCAATATGAGTGCAGTTGGTTATCAAACCCAAGATAAGTGCTAATTCAAGGAAAGAAACAGCTGACATAAATTACTCTTCACGTGTCCTCACCCTTTCACCCTAGACCCTATCATTTCTAAATACTTAAATGTGGTATTTTTTAACTTCAAAGATAGTACTTTTGTGTGTGTTTGTACACATATGTTTTTGCGTCTTTTGCTATCCCTTGTGGCAAAGTACAATCATTCAGAATTTTCAGAGAGAGAAAATTGTATTTTTTTTCTGATATATCTCTCCCCTTACAGAGCTGTAAATTGAATGGTAAATAAATATTAAATGAAGTGGGGAAAAAAAGGTGGTGGGGTTAAGTAAAAACAAACAAACAAAATAAGAGAGTGGTGAAGAACTCCTGAGCTAGCAAGAGCAGGGTGCCATTTTCACAAGCCCTCTCACCCCCTCCCCTTCCTCCCACCACCACAGAAAGGAGTTCCACTTGGGCTTCTACCAGCTTCTCTGCCATTGACCTGTTCTGTGATGCCTCTCCTGTCCTGTCTTAGGGCCTCTCGGATGCAGTGATGTGGGCTGCCTGACATCCAGGCATGCACAACATTGTGATGGATGAGTTAGTGCCAGCGCCCCACCTTTGAAGAAAGGGGGATGGAAGCCAGTTGATGCCAACTTCCCAATTTCTTCCCTAGCTGACTATTCTGTGGTATATTCTGTAAGATTCCCCAGAAGGTTCTGTGGGATTGAGCACCAGTTGACAATAGCAGTGACCAATTCAAGAACTCATCCTTGTTTTGGGGTTTACTTCCTCCTCCTTTACTGTCCCTGCCCTCTCACACCTGTTTCCTAAGATAAGTTCCCAAATAAACCACATGTACACAGCCTTCACTTCAGGCTCTCCTTCAAGGGAAACCAAGGCTAAGCAGCCACTCTCAGCCAGTAGATTCAAGGGGAGTAAGGGATTTCTGGGAGAGAGTGAGAGAGAAGGGGGGTGGAGAGGAAGGGAGGGATGGAGAGAGAAGGAGAGAGCAGGGGAAGGGGGGAAGGAGAGAAAGAGAGCTAAAGCTAAAGAAAGCAAACTTCAGTCTTCTGAGGAGGAATACAGTCAGACAACCCTCAGGCTAGAGGGCAGGTGGGAGGAAAAATACACAGCCCAAGCACAATCTCCTCCCACCCACGGTCCCCTTCCAGAGCCTTCTATGGCTGAATCAATTCCCAGAGGGTGAGGAAGGGTTAGCCTTCATGCAGTTCATAGAGGCCAGCTTCCCAGGGCACAGACTAGGCAAGAAGGTTAGAAAGCAGAACTGGAAGGAAACAGAATTGCCAGACAACCACGTTTACCCACACACCAGTTTTCTCTCCTGCTGACCCTGAGTCTTACAGAATTGACTGCAGCACTGACATGCTTCACAAGGCCATCTTTTCAAAGTGGGAAATGTTTCTAAGATGAGGTTGTTCTTGCAACCACACAGAAATAACTTGTTGGCTACACATAAATTTTATCACCATTGAACATAACCATCCTAGTAAACTCAGTTATCATCTGGATTAAGCAGCCTAGGATATGAAGACAAGTGTGGATGTGCATTCAGAACATCCCTTGATTCAAATCCCAGAGCTGCTACTAACAAAAATGGTGCCCTTGAGCAAGTTTCCTTCTCTGAGTTTCAGTTTTCTCATCTGCAAAATAGGATTAAAATATCAACCCCACCTCACAAAAGTTTTGTGAAGATTCAATGAAAGAAGACACTGTAAATGGTGGCTGTCTTTTCTAGTACTGCTCTCTTAATTACTGCTCATTTATTATGCCTCAAACTTCTACTTATCTCCATAGAGATGTATGTATGTTATTAACATATTCATATTGAATAGGATTAACAGTCTCAGAAATCTAAAAATTTCTTTAGATATTTGAAGATTCCTCTTAAAATTATAGTTGGATAAACTGTAATATTTTATTACCCCTCTGTCTTCTTGCTCTTAACTGTATAAAATATCCTGAAGTTCATCTTAAGTGACAGGTGAACTAATTGTTCTTCAATTGCATTCAGACTTCAATGGTCTTTCAGTCGACCGTGATGAAGTAATTTATGCTCAGACTCTGGACACAGTTGCCTGATTGCTGATGGTGATGAATCACTGAGGGAAGGGCCCACATTTCTGTGCTGTTGGAGCTTTTCATTTAAATTCTGAGACTGCTGGGTTGCCTGCAGGTTTACTGGAAAATGGCCTCTGCTTGGAAGCCTGGTTGGAGGGACTTCTTGCCACAGGGTTCATCCTCTGCTATATTAAAAAGGTTTTGTGAGAATCTCTGACTTACATGTTAAGGAAAGAATGTGCTCTGTCTCAGGTGTAATTCATCTTGTATCTAAAAATGTGTGGTTCTGTGAAATATAACATATTTAGTTCTTTTTCTCTTGTCCTTTGAGGAAAATCTACCCATTTCTTTTGAAGTAGTGGTGCTATATAAAGGAAATATATCTTTCTGGCCTTATAAACAATTTTCTCATTTTTTTTCCTCTTTCCCAAATAGGATTTTTTTTTTAGTGTGAAGGAAGAGAGAAGAAAAAGAATTTAATGAGAGAGAAATATGGATACAAATTTATGGTAATACTAGCCTTATTTATTTTAAGGAAAATAATGAAGCTAAAGCAAATTGGATCACAAATAAAATCAGATGTATTATGAAAATAATAATGTTTATGTTTTCTCCCTGGATTATGTAGTTGTTAAACCATATATTTAATTTGTTGGATATTTTGTGGTTATTGCTCTGTTTATAAAAATGATTGCCAATTTCAAGCCTCATTCAGGAGAGTGAGCCAGAGGGCATTGTGGTAAATGTACACTAATCCTACAATAGTGTTTGAACATGAGAGTTGGCACTCCTTGGCAGGACTCAGGTGTTACAACAACAGAATCAGAAAAATATCCTACATGGAAACTTTTTCTCGGAGTGAATCTCTGATGGTGTGAATTGCTGTTGGTGATGAATCACTGAGGGAAGGGCCCACATTTTGAATATATTTTGAATCTCTGCTTTGAATGAACGGAGCAAGAAGGAGCTGTGAACTACATTTTCAGTTAGGGAGATGTGAAGGGGGCTCATGGAAGGTGGTAAATTAAAGGATGAATTAAATCTTTCCTTTAAAAAAAGAAATCAGAAGAACCCTATTTAGACTAGGCGTTAGGAATACTATGGCCCTTGGTACTCAGTCAATGGGAAATTTTAATCATAGATCCTTGGGAAATTGACGAGACTACTCATTGCCCTACACTTCCCTCTGACGGCAAATATCTACCTGTCCTAGAATTGTTGAAGCCCTTCCTCTTCTTAGAATTTGGACACCCCTCTTTGGGGAAAGGTGGATTTAAGGAAGCACTCTCTCAGGGTGTAGGATGGGCACCTGGCAGTAAGCATCCTGTATTTTGCATCCAATGTGCCTCACTGGCTTCATCCTAGTCTTGGCCCTGAGAGGCACCCAACATTATCTGAGAGGTCTGAGATTTAGGCAATACAGTGATTTGGGTGTCTCCCAGGCACATGCAGAGAAGGGGAGCACTTTGGCTTGGGTGCTGCATCAGCTCCAGTAAAGAGAAAGTGCTAGTTGCTATGCCTCAACCTCAACTGTGTCAAGTGACAGGTTACTCCTCTGACCAAAATGCACCTGGAATGTCAGAATGCATCTGTGACTGATTTGTCTCCCAGAGTCAGCCGAGGCTGGTCTGCCTGCCTGCTTGAGCAGCTGAGAATGTGTCTTTTCAAAGCTGTCTAGTTTGACTATTTCTCAAGTGGCTTACAGATGGCTGGGTTGGTCTTCTAGTAGATTCTCTCTGGAGCATGCTCTCCAATTCTGACCTTCTATCCCTACTTCAGGGGCCTTGAGATCCACCGCTCTATTCTGTTTGGTAATGTGGCAATGACTGTGGACATTCTTCTGGTCAGAATGCCCAGATGCTCGTTCTCGGCTGTGTCCTCTCCAACATGGGGGGATGAAATTGTTCCTGGAAGAGTTCTAGCACCTAATGTCTTGACTTCTTGGATTTTGTATATTTAGACAAAGCTTTTCCTTATGATTCCCAGATCTGGCTTCTTCTTCTCTACTCCCCAAAGCACCTAGCCAGTATCTTGTTTATTGCTCTCTCTGCCCTGTATCCACAGTACTGGTGTACACATCTTGCCCTCCTCACCAGATTATGGGCTCCACAAGTCCAG